AATAATAATAATAATAATAATAATAATAATAATAATAATAATAATAAATAACCAATACAAGTAATAACAACTAAATGAGGGACAAAATAACTAATTGAATAAAGTGGGGGGTGAAGGGCCTCACACACACACACCCAAGCCAACTCAGTCGCAACAGTCTGGTCCTGGACCCACCGCCGCCCAGCCCCGCCCGCGCAGTATTTCTAAGCTATAAAATTACATTATTACTTTTTCCCTCCCTTTTTACTAAATCCTGAGGGAAATAACTGGCTCCCATTTGATCACTTCTCTGCTATGCTCATTAGTTAGTTGGTACCTTTATCTATTTGCTGCTTTGCTGTCATTTAGCTTCGCCTATGTCTGAGTTTTTATTCATTTGTTTCCTGCTGATGAAATCAAAACTGTTGATAGAATAGAGCTAATGTCCATGTCTTGAAGATGCAGGATCCATAAATTAAGACTAGTTTGGAGATGGAGGGGGTTTTGGACATGACATAACAAGACACGATCATGCTAAAGAATTTAGCCTTTACATATTTTTTTCTGTCAATAGGACAATTAAGACAAAAAGACAACTATTAGTGCAGCTCAGAATTTTTGTTACCTTTTTCTGCACTTACTTGCTCCAGATCACCATACATCACATGCACCACTGTCTATACGGCCTATTCCTAGTTGGGTCATGGGAGGATAAGATAATGGAAGATAGCTGGGTACACCCTGGACAGGTCATCAGTCCATCAAAGCAACAAACAGTTTGTAGTAAAAGTAATTCAAAGTTCAGAAAAAGACACAGTACATGATTTTTCCTCAATGCTGAAATGAGTCAAAATAGGCTAAAAAAAGCAGCTGGGCATTTCAGTTTGGTAGTTTGCTCTGGATAAAACTGTTGGTGTAATTACAATAATGTAATCATGTTTAATAGACTGTGATAAACTCTGATAAACGCTCTTTGAGTCTCACCTTTAACCCTCCACATACAGCTTCATCCCAGCTATATCATATCAGTGTCACCATGAGATACCCTGCTGTGGTACCGCAGTTATAAAACCATATCACAGCAGCACATGAAAGGCCTCCAGAGATCAAACTGCACTCATCATAAGTCTTTGTCAAAATTTCACAGATAAGGAGTGAAAAGATAAGAGACACTGGATGACACTTCTGTCAAATTTGTATTTGTAAATTGACAAACTGCGGGTTGCTTCTAAGACTCCAACCTCAGGGGAAAAAACATACCACAACCTTTCTTTATATGGCGCCAAGAGGCTCAGGTATTTAATTGAAAAAACTGTGTCATGAATACTTTATCAACATATCCGCACACCCCCTGCTGATAGAATAGACCCAGCTTCTTATCTCAAAATGATTATGAAAGAGGGTTTGATGTCGGAACTCTTAGGGAAAACTTGTGGGGACAAAAAAAGTAAAGTTTTTTACTTGAGTTTGATTACAACTGGCTGAGCAAAATTTCATCCACTTCTTGAAAAATGTTATCAGACATCATTCCAAAAAAATCCCCTCACTGCAAGGGCTAAAAATGCACTAGACATGAAGGCTAATGCATCTATCAGTGCCTCTCTTAGTCGTCTTTCCATTCCAGCCCATTAGAGGGAATAATTGCTGCAGTCGGTTAGGTGGGAAGAAATGGGTAGTGAAAAAAGTACAGTAGAATATTACAGGATATCATCTTAATGTATGGACAGAGGGTTGTGCATTAGCTTAGAATAACTGATGTAATGCTTGTTATCACAGGCACACAGTCAAAGTAATGGCAGTTAAAGCGATTGTTTCAATGTGTACAATAAAACGCTGCAACCTGAACTTCATACCACTTACTAACACATACACGCACTCTTGCTGTTGTGGAAAAATCATCAATCGAAGTGGACCCTGTCCTCTGGTTTATTCACAAACACATGGAAGCACACACACTTAAATGGACTTACACACACAAACGAGAGTATATAAAGGGTTGGGCCCTTTAACATTCTCTCATCATTTGAAAAACAGATCTCAAGGCAAACTGTTATCTTCACTCACAAACCTCCCCCCAGAAAAGAGAGAAACATGCCAGCAGATTACAATGGACACTGGGAGATGGTGAGCAATGAGCACTTTGAGGACGTCATGAAGGCCCTCGGTAAGTTCAACTCATATATAATATACAGTATTTCAGAAAAAAAACTAATGTGGCTTTTCAGTCTTCTTAGCCTTCAGCACCTGATGGCTCCATCCAAAGACACAGAAGATGATCTTCTATCAAATCTGGCATGAAAGATATTGTGAGACAGCATTAGTGTTATATGCAAAGCTTGACAGAGGATGAGAATAACACAGGAGAGCTGTGGAACTGCTTCATTTCTTCATTGAGCTGCTGTCAAGACAAATTAACCTCTACCCTGCAAGGTTTTTGCTGTGCTATACCGTGCCGAATAAATATTGATTCTGACTTCCGGAACTCAATGACGAATTCCCACTTCATGTCAGGTTTTGGACTGACTCTAAGGCAGACAGAAAAAAATCTCTCCTCATTTTTTGGCTGGTCATTGATCAGGCCCAGAAATGCTTTGATTATTCAAAACTGTATCTGCAAGTCATAAAACAAACCCTGCTTCCTTAAAATAACTCACACCAAATCCAGGAAAGCCTTTGTGCCTCCACCTCAGTTCCATCGAGCGGGTAGTAAAATGATATCCTTATGGAAAGGGTCGACAAATAACTTTCAGATGAGTAAATATGGAAGCTTCATATCTAAAAGTAAGGGACAAAAGTCAAATGTTGATATTTTGACAAAAATAATATGAAAACAAACAAGGCGGTTGGTTCATCATGGCAAGGTCTCATACAGAGACGCGGTATAAAAATTCAGATGGGCCCATTCTTACTTGAAGCAAGGTAATTTCTTACAAGTAAATAAGACTGTCAGATAGAGCAGCAGGAGAAGACGCATAATAAGCATTGCATGCGTGGTTTGCGGCTCAGTGCTTTGGCTGTCTTTCATGCACATATGCCGAATTACGATCTCAATTCAAAATAAACCTGAGTTTGTTCATATTTGCAGACATTGACTTTGCCACCAGAAAGATTGCTTCTCACCTCCATCAGACAAAAGTGATCGTTCAGAATGGAGACAAGTTTGAAACCAAGACCCTAAGCACCTTCAGAAACTATGAGGTGAACTTCACTGTGGGGGAAGAGTTCGAGGAGCACACGAAGGCCCTGGATAACCGAAAAGTCAAGGTTGCAGTGGTTTCTTTATTAATTAAGTGGATTTTCTCTCAGATATCAATTGAATGAACATAATTAAAACCAACCACTGATGTATTGTTTCTGTGATGAATCAACAGACTCTGGTCACCTGGGATGGGGACAAGTTGGTGTGCATTCAAAAAGGGGAGAAAGAAAATCGTGGTTGGAAACAGTGGATTGAGGGAGACATGCTACACCTGGTGAGACACTAGGGGCTAAAGTATTTACCTGTGTTTTCAACATTGTTAATTCAGTCACACAAGTTTGCCTCATTAACAAGATAAATGTTATGAATGTGTGATTTAACTTCCTTGTTGGAGTCATTCTCTTTTGCATCATGTTGCCTTGTCTTGTATCTGTGTGCAACTGCGATACTAATACCATAAAACTCAGAAAGATAAAAGCTGTGTGTGGTTGTGCAACTGGTTTTCAGATTTGTTACATCACTTTGTCAAAGTCTGAAGGTCTGTTCCTTTTCTTTCAGGAAATCACAGCTCTTGATAAAGTTTGCCATCAGGTATTTAAGAAGAAGCAGTAGAATGGAAGATAATGTTGTCTGTACCAAATGTAATGTTGCTGTCTGTTTGAATTTAGAGAGCTTTAATAAAGTGATTTAATAAAAATGTTCATTTCAAGGTTGTAAAGATTTTTTTTTAAAAGGCACCACAATAAAAAAAAGCTTCAAAATAACCAATAAAGATTGGTAACACAATCACCCCAAAAAATTAAAAGATGGCATTTTCTTTTCCGAATGATTTCCCACCCTTTCCCTACATTTCCCTTGCCATGTGCCTATGTGCTACACTTGTTAGGTAAAACTTGATACATATTTACAACAGGATAATCAGGTAAATGAAAACAGTAGCTGTGAGAAGGACATTTTTTTAAAAGGAAGGACAGTCAAGACATCCAAAGCGCACACATGCAAACCAAAAAAAAAAAAGGAGCAAGTGGAATGTTCTCTGTGATACTAAGGCAGTTAAAATTTTCATTAGAATTAAATGAAATGCTGATTAAAAGGTTTCATAATTGTATGACTAGGAGGAACGAACATTACTCAGAGAATAACCTAAGACTCAAGATTGTTGTTGAAATTTAATCAATGTTATGAAATCTGAGGTGGTACATATTCAGCATGATTAAATTAAAACAGTGTGGACCGAAGTATGGAAGATGCCTTTGTTGAGAAAGAAGGAAGAAAAAGCCAGACACATACGTGCTTTAAAATAAAAAAGATAATTGGATGTTTATATTCAATTAATTTAAAAATGCAATTAATATCAAATGTCCACGGATCAAATTGAATAAAAAAAAAACATAATATTTGAAACATTCTGAATGTTAAAAAGTCCAAGATAGTATTCCACTTTTACTTTTTCTGCTTTAAGTTTTTGTTTTCCCGAAAAGTATTGAATGGATAATCAGGTACAACGTGTTCTCTATGCCGGATCTGGGGCTGCACTCACAGGAAACTCTGAAGAATCCACGTAGCCAAATGAGACACGAGTCAAGTTAGACAAAAATAGAAACGTTAGAAAGGGAAGTGCTCCATTTCATTCGACAAAACTAAAGCATTTCAAAGCCCAGTTTTAAACTACCCCACAGGATAACTTCAACATTGGAGTCGTTTTAAAGCGAGAAATGATCTTCTAAAATTATTAGGGAATTACTGACAAGTTAAATGCAATGGAGTTTACATTTGTTTTTTGTTTTTTCGTTTTCTTGTTTTTTTGCCATACTTCAATGTGTTGGCTTTTCTATTTGTCTAGTTGGTAGTCATTTGATCAAAATCTTAAATTAAATATTTTTTCTAAAATCACATAGGCCTATTGATCTCGGACTAACAATTACATTTGCTGAAAGGAAATGGTAGAAGAAAGACACCTTCTCCCTAATTTACACGAGTTGGAAGCTGCTCGTGATATCTAATTTCTTGTAAAGTATTGAGTTTTTTTATTTCTTACATCTTCATTTTTTTTGGTCAGAATTTTTCCCAACTTATTCATTAAAACTAAAACATCTATTTTGTACGCGGACGCTGAAGTTTTTGCGCATATGCTGCTCCTGAGGTTTATTATGAAAATTCCAAAAAGGAAGTTACTTTTTAAAATAATTTTTACTTTGACATGTTGTTCAACTTTTGTCGTCTGTGCTCCGCAGTAGCTACTCAACCAGAGTAGTTTGATTTTTTTTATACAGGGAAAGCTACTCAGACACACACTTACGTGGGAAAAATGGTAGGTGTAACAAAAAAATGTAGTTTGTATTTTTATAGCCTGAAACTGTTGTGTGTTATTGAAATGGAAGTGCATTTATTGAATACAATCCTTAAACTTATGTCGTTGGCAACTGTTTAAAAAATGTACTTTTACATGCAGGAACAACTATAAATATAATACGAAATTTATATATATATTTTTTATATTGAACATATTCATCATATGAGGAGTGGCGGAAAGATAAGCCTAGTTTTCACCGTCGTGGAAAAAAATGATCAGGCATGCATACAAAATGTGCTATTGGATGTGCCCACAGACACACCCCTTTCCTAACTTACTGTGTAACCAAGCCTGAAATTAAATAGAGGCGCAATGAACAGGAAATGTGTGACAAGTCTAGTTTATCCGTGCTTGCCTGCTCCCTGATTAACCCTCATTGACAGCCTCTGAGGTTGGACATCAAGAGAAGGCTGACAGCTCGATCAGATCGCGTGAAGAGCGTGGATCTGCATCCCACTGAGCCGTGGATGGTGGTCAGTCTCTACAGCGGCACTGTTGTTGTCTGGAACCATGAGACTCAGGTCACTATGACAAAGCTGCTCATCCACCTCATCACTTATTGACACTTCAACAATCATCATATTCCGGTTGTCACTTTACTGTTGTCTGTGGTCTTTGCTGATAATTATTGCCCGAAAAAATATACGTATTTGTCTTTGCTTGTCTGTAGATGATGGTGAAAACCTTTGAGCTGTGTGACCTGCCTGTAAGAGTGGCGAAGTTTGTAGCCAGGAAACACTGGATTGTCACTGGAGCTGTAAGAATTTTTTTTTTAGTGGTACCTTCATGAAAACTGGGTTGTTTTTTTTTGCTGCTTTTTTGCTGTAAGGACTCTTAAATTGGTTTTCTTATGACGGAGCATGACACTGCATTATTGTGGTCATCCCCCTATATTACTGACACATTATTTTCACATTATTTTTCAAACAAATAACAAACCATTGTTCAGTCAGATTGCTTGTGCTTTTAGATAATTTTATCTGTCTGCAGGATGACATGCAGATCCGTGTGTTCAACTACAACACTTTAGAGAGAGTTCACATGTTTGAAGCTCACTCTGACTACATCCGCTGTGTGGCTGTGCACCCAACACAGTCCTTCATCCTCACCAGCAGTGGTAAGCAACCTTTGCACATGCTAATCCAAACTATAAAAGCTTAAAAAAGGGACATATCAAATGTTGAAAGTATGATATTTGAGCATCTTTGGATACTCATACTCGATATTTGGTGTTTCTGTTCACAGATGACATGTATATCAAACTATGGAACTGGGACAAGAAGTGGGCGTGCAGTCAGGTGTTTGAGGGACATACTCACTATGTCATGCAGATTGTCATTAACCCCAAAGACAACAACCAGTTTGCCAGTGCCTCTTTGGACAGAACTATTAAGGTTTGACTGATTAGTACATAATCATGAATAATTGCAGTGAGGCACAACTTGTTATTTTTGGGCCATAAACTGTTAAATATGATGGAGATGTGTTTTACTTTAATTGAGATCAATATATGAGAACACTATGTTTTTACGAGAATTATTGGAAATCTCATTATAGATATCAAACTGAGTAGCACCAGGAATGCCAATTCAATTAGATATACATTTGACGGAAAGTTGTTCACATTTAACAATTATTTACTCTCATTTAAATGGGCTTCTGTGCTATAGGTGTGGCAGCTGGGCTCCAAGACTCCTAATTTCACTCTTGAGGGTCATGAGAAAGGAGTGAACTGTATTGATTACTACAGTGGAGGAGACAAGCCATACCTTATATCTGGGGCTGATGACCACCTGGTCAAGATCTGGGATTATCAGGTTAACATTCTCATGCATATGAAGAGACACAATGGATGGTATTGATTTTGTTGTTATAGGATTATTTCTGTGTCATACAGCATGCTATTTTACAAACGCATCTTCCAGTCATGCACACACACTGTTTACTACGTGAATTGTAAATAAAAGATTAGAATGCCTATTTGCTTAAAGACACTATGGAACATACCACAACTTCTGCAGGTCAAGACATTTTTCTGCTTTTTCTGCTTTTTTTTACCTCTAAAAAACTTCACAAACCAAACAAAAAATATTTAAGATTAAGCACCAGTTTTTTTGTCCATTACACATGTATTTTAATTCATGACATGGCTAGAGAAAACATCAAGGCCATGAAGTTCAGGGATTTGCCTAAAAACCATTTAACATGTAGAATCTGAATGCCAGAGGTCAAACCAACTGCTTCTTTTGAACCCTTCAGAAGCATGGCGAGTATTGCTAAAATGCTACCTAATGTCAAATATGCAATTATTATTCATAAGAACAATCATTGTTGATATGTATTACAGTCAAATTTGATGCATTCATTCATTAGTAATAAGCATGACACCTTGACATTGTATATCATGTGGACTGTATTACTGTTGTTTTTATTTACCAGAACAAAACTTGTGTTCAAACCCTGGAGGGTCATGCGCAGAATGTGACATGTGTCAGCTTCCACCCTGCGCTGCCAATCATCCTTACAGGCTCTGAGGACGGTGGGTAAAAAGTTGCAAAAAACACACACATATACTATGCAAGAATCTAGTTGCCCTAAATGAGCACCAGACCCTATTTTAGTTTGACCATTTTTTCACTTACCCAGGTACCATTCGTATATGGCACTCCAACACCTACAGACTAGAAAACACGCTCAATTATGGCATGGAGCGGGTGTGGTGTATATGTGCCCAGCATGGATCTAATTGTGTTGGTCTGGGCTATGACGAAGGCAGCATCATCATCAAAGTGCGTACTCTCTATCAGACATTCATTTCCAGGTTGAACATTCTTACATCGGTTTTCTGATAACGCAATATTAAGGACTGAGCTCTGATTTTAGAAATCTGTCAAAGATTATGACCTCATTCTCTGTCAAACTCTTTTATTTTTAGTATTCATTTTGACTTTTAAACTAAGTCAGGGTACTAACTTTAAAACACCTAAACACCACCATCGTCTCACAAAATTATGTGAATTAACTTTTTTATCTGTAACAGCAGCTTTTAGCAGTTATACCCTCACAGGTGCAAATGTATTAGAAAGTAGTCTGAATTGTGTTATCTGAAATAATCATTGTTGAAATCTTAAGGTGTCGCTCCAAAGACCACAAACTACTTTCATATCATCTCAGAATTCCCTGTTTTCTCCTTTTGTCTCAGCTGGGTCGGGAGGAGCCAGCCATGTCCATGGATTCCAGTGGGAAAGTTATGTGGGCTCGTCACTCTGAGGTGCAGCAGGCTAACTTGAAGGTGCTGGGGGAGACTGAGTTACAGGATGGAGAGAGGCTCCCACTTGGCGTCAAAGATATGGGCAGCTGTGAGATTTACCCACAGACTATCCAACACAGCCCCAATGGAAGGTGAACCATTAGTGACAGGTGGAATCATTCGTGACAAGAAGTAATGGGATAACCAACCATTTAAAGTATCGGTACAGTAAGACTGAGAGTTACAGATCATTTGATGTTAATTCCATTTACCTTTATATTTTTCAGTTTGTAAAAATTCTTAATTTTTTACATCATAAAGTCAAACATCTTTTGTGATTTGAAAAAATTGTTAGTGCAAAATTAGAAATGCTAGACAAAGCAAAGTTCAACACATACTGTTTGTTTTACAAAAGGACGCCAGGCATGCTTACACCCAAAAATGCTGAGATTATTTTGATCTCTCAGCCCCACTGGCCCGATTAGGCACCACCTATCTACTGAAGTTTAAAATTCAAAATCGGTACAATAAATATTAGAAGACATCCCTAAAATAAAGAAAATAAACAGTATTCTGTATGATACTAATGCATTATGTACAATTAAAGGTTGTTTGATTTATTGCATAGTACAGCTGTACCCTGTATTCAATCTAACTTTACTCCCTATAAGTGTCCTACTCAACAACATTTAATCACGATGTGGCTACCTGCATACCTAATCCTTGCATATAAAACATGTACATTTTCCTTGTTTGAGATTTTAGTGCTGTTCTTGTTTCTCTTTGAATTGGTTTTTAATGTGTGTCTCTCTGCACCTGCAGATTTGTGGTGGTTTGTGGGGATGGGGAATATATCATCTATACAGCAATGGCCTTGAGGAATAAGAGTTTTGGCTCCGCACATGAGTTTGTTTGGTCACATGACTCTTCACAGTAAGTGTTTCTGTAAAATTAAAGAAAAACTTTAACATTTTGTTAATGTTTGTGACTTACTCGACATTTACATAATAAAAAACTAAAATTTTTATATTTTAAGTCATGAAAAGAATTCAAATTGCTTAGTCAGCTTTTACTTTGTTACTATTAGCTATTTCTTTAGGGATGTCAAAGTTGATTATACTCTGAGATTACATAAATTGGCATTTGCTTGATATATAACACACGACTGATGGTAATGTTGATTTAATCTTCTCTCTTAGATGTATGAGATAAGAATATCTTAAGTGTGTGTGATTATTACATTTGCAGGTATGCCACCAGGGAAGGCAACACTATGGTAAAAATATTTAAGAACTTTAAACAGAAGACAACTTTTAAACCTGATTTAGGGGCTGACAGTGAGTTTCATTTGTCAATTTACCACACACAATGGGTTTTGTGTATGTCTGTCTATACAAACACATTTATTTCGGTTCACTCCTGTATGCAATTATTGGTATCCTACCACCCCTCAGGCATCTTTGGTGGATTCTTACTGGGTGTGAGGTCAAACAGCGGCTTGACTTTTTATGACTGGGAGAATGCTGATTTGATTCGTCGGATTGAAATCCAGCCTAAGCATGTAAGAAACAATCCATTGAGAGTCCTATAATTTTTTTTCCCTCTCTGATGATTCTTTGCACGATACTTTGCATGTCTGTAGATCTTCTGGTCCGACTCTGGGGAACTGGTGTGTATTGCTACGGAGGAGTCTTTCTTTGTGCTGCGTTACCTTCCAGAACGAGTCTTAGCAATCCAAGAGTCAAAGGCAAAGATGACGGAAGACGGAGTTGAGGATGCCTTTGAGGTCTTAAACCTTTTTTGTTTTTATTTTTCCTGTTCTGTCTGTCAGCAATTAATTTCTACTTGTCCTTATGATTGCATACTGTTCAGGTACTGGGGGAGGTCCAGGAGATGGTGAAGACAGGTGTATGGGTGGGCGACTGCTTCATCTACACCAGCTCTGTTAACAGACTCAACTACTATGTTGGAGGAGAGATCATCACCATTGCTCATATGGACAGGTCCCCCACTGGACAACTCACAGAATTGTATGGACAAATCTATTTTTGGTTATTCAGAGTTTATCAGTACTTTCTCTCTGCCATGCATTAGGACCATGTATTTGCTGGGCTACATTCCAAAAGATGACCGTCTCTATCTTGGAGACAAAGAGCTCAACATTGTCAGTTATTCCCTGCTACTCTCCGTACTAGAGTATCAAACAGCTGTCATGAGGAAGGATTTCAGCACAGCTGACAAGGTTTTGCCAACAATTCCGAAGGAACAGAGAACCAAGGTTGCCCACTTCCTGGAGAAACAGGTATCACTGCCCTTTTGATATTTGACCCTGGTAGCTCATATTTTTGCCCCCATTTCTGTTTCAGTGGACTAATACTTCCAAATTAGGATTAAGATATGTATAGTTAAACCAAGGTTGTCAAATTGAGCAGGGAGCCATGTAGAATGTTTGGTGTCTATATTATGATATACTTTTACAACTGGAAGAGCTGTTTTCTTACTCCCTTTTTTTCTCTCAGAAACTGAAATATTTGTTGTATTGTTTATTGTGTTTTTCAGGGTTTCAGGCAGCAGGCACTTGCTGTGTCCACTGATCCTGAACATAGGTTTGAACTTGCTCTGCTGCTGGGGGAGCTCAAGACAGCTTACGATCTAGCTCTGGAAGCAGAGGTGAGAGACAAGATTTTAGTTGCTGTATGCTAGCAGTTATGTAAGGCTGGAATGACTGCTCACCGTTTCAGTTTATTATGACAGTTTTTAAATCAGGGCAATCGCATCATATTTGATGGATGTACAGAGTGAAGAGTGCTGCTTGACCTAATTTTGACCTGATTAAAGCTCTGGAGTAAAGCTTTCAGGCTCTAGAAAATAATCGGTGGGAAAAATAATTAGGACATTATGTGTGTTGCATTTCAAGGATATGCACATTTTAAAAACAAGTCTATAATGTTTCCCAGATTTAATGATTTTGTTTTTCAGCAAAAACCTGTCTGATCTGCTTAAAATGTGTATAGACACTCCTTTCTCTATATTACGCTGCAAAAGTTAAAGCTTTTATCCTCTGATAATCCTCATCCCGGCCTTTTTGTCTTCTCTGCATATGGGGGCTTCAGTCAGAGCAGAGATGGAAGCAGCTGGCAGAACTCGCCACTACAAAGTGCCAGTTTAGCTTGGCTCAGGAGTGCCTGCACCAAGCACAGGATTATGGGGGATTATTGCTACTGGCAACCACCTCTGGCAATGTGGAGATGGTTGGCAAGCTGGCTGAGGGGGCAGAAAAGGAGGGGAAGACCAACATTGCCTTCCTTACCTATTTCATGCAGGGAAAGTGAGTATGTGGGACATAAATGGAAAGCGGCTTTTTCGTATCTAGTATTTAGATTTTAATTTAGTCATTACTACTTTTTATCTCTCTTAATTTTCCCAGACTGGACAAATGTCTTGACCTGCTTATTAAAACAGATCGACTACCGGAGGCCGCATTCCTTGCAAGAACATACATGCCCAGCCATGTCTCAAGGTAATGTTTTTACTGAAGATTACGCTGCAAATTGTGTTGTGCCTGTAGACAGCCATGTATCATGCAGAACCCCTGCATGTCCTGTTTCTGTTTTGTTATTTCTTATGCATTGTGGACTTAGGCAAATAAATAATAAGTTATGTTTCTGCCACCTCTGAGGGGTTTTATTTATGGAGTTTTTCGCCCTTGGCAAGTTCATATGCCTTTCTTCCTCCAGGGTGGTGAAACTGTGGAAAGAGAATCTGTCCAAGGTTAATCAGAAGGCAGCAGATGCTCTAGCTGACCCAACCCAGTACAGCAACCTGTTCCCTGACCACCAGCAAGCCCTGCTGGCTGAGCGGTACCTGAAGGAGACTCATGTCAGGGTCAGATCTGCTGCAGAGTATCCACTCGTCATGGTCAGTGAGAGGAACTTTTACTGTGTTTTAAAAATTCAACTAATTTTGAAAATATGCCATGTAACCCTATGTGCAGAAGCTTCTCAAACTGTAAGTCTGAGCTACGTTTTAGTTTATCAAAGTTAATGAAATGACATTTAGCATGTTTGTCCGTTCTTCAGCCTAACGAGGATCGACATGTTCTGGAGGAGGCTGCAGGATTTATGCCCAAAGGAGAAATAAATTATCCACAGGTGAGGACACTGCTTTGTCTGTTGAATATACACACCATGCGTAAAAATAAACACACAGACCAATGGCACCAACATCAATTGCAATAATTAAAAAAATGAGCCACAAATGCTTTGTGTGACGTGTGAAGTGAAATGTAAGCCAAAGGTTTTATGTGAACTGCGTACACTAAAGAGGAGGGGGGTGCAACCATACCTCACTCCAGAGATTAGCAGCAGACAGAAAGGCCCCACAGACCTTGGCCCTAGTAGCCCCCTCAATGCAGAGAACAGAGAAACCAGGCGGACCATCTTAGGAAAGGTCCATCTCAGCCAAGTGGACAACTGAGGAAGGAAGCAGGGAGTTAAATCTAAATGTGAAGCAGATACTTGAAGTAATTTATGACCTAACTCTTGTCTCCAATCATTCTGTTCCGTGCAGGAAGAGGAGAAGAGAATGAGTGGAGCACTCATTGCACCTGTGGTGATGGAAATGGCTCCTCCAGATGCAGAAAGAGAGAAGGAGAAGCCCATTCAACCAAAACTGGAGCCCGGTCATATACCTGTGTCAGTGGCAGAAGAACAATATGTTGTGACAGAGGAGGACACACCTCCTCTTCTTGAAAATGAGGAACGGTTTGAGCCAAACCAAGAACAATCTGTGTTGTGTGATGTGGAAGATGTGAAAGAGGACAACAAAGTGAAATCAGAGACTTTAGTCACTGCAGAGGCATGCTTCACACATGAGTCCAGTACTGACATTGTAATTACAGAGACGGAGACGGAGGCTGCAGATTTTATGCCCAAAGGAGAAATAAATGATCCACAGGTGAGGACACTGCTTTGTCTGTTGAATATACACACCACGCGTAAAAATAAACACACAGACCAATGGCACCAACATCAATTGCAATAATTAAAAAAATTAGCCACAAATGCTTTGTGTGACGTGTGAAGTGAAATGTAAGCCAAAGGTTTTATGTGAACTGTGTACACTAAAGAGGAGGGGAGTGCAACAATACCTCACACTAGAGATTAGCAGCAGACAGAAAGGCCCCACAGACCTTTGGCCCTAGTAGCCCCTCAATGCAGAGAACAGAGAAACCAGGCAGACCATCTTAGGAAAGGTCCATTTCAGCCAAGTGGACAGCTGAGGAAGGAAGCAGGGAGTGGAATCTAAATGTGAAGCAGAAACTTGAAGTAATTTATGATATAACTATTGTCTCCAATCATTCTGTTCCGTGCAGGAAGAGGAGAAGAGAATGAGTGGAGCGCTTATTGCACCTGTGGTGATGGAGATGGCCCGTCCAGATGCAGAAAGAGAGAAAGAGAAGCCCATTCAACCAAAACCGGAGCCCGGCCATATACCTGTGTCAGTGGCAGAAGAACAATATGTTGTGACAGAGGAGGACACACCTCTTCTTCTTGAAAATGAGGAACGGTTTGAGCCAAACCAAGAACAATCTGTGTCGTGTGATGTGGAAGATGTGAAAGAGGACAACAAAATGAAATCAGAGACTTTAGTCACTGCAGAGGCATGCTTCACACATGAGAGCAGTACTGACATTGGAATTACAGAGACGGAGATGGCACAGGTCGGTTCAGTTAAAGATGTAAGCTCATCTGTTGAGATCACTATTCAGGCGGCAATTCCAACAGCGGAATCTCAGCCTTCCACCTGTATTTCTGAAAGTGAAACCATTTTGACAACCGAAGAGACAGTTGAAGTTGAGGATGATGTCGTTAACAATGATGTGCCAATTGATACTGCAATTGCAGCAGAATCTGTAGAAAGTGAGAAGGTCTTGAGCTGGGATGAACTGGAACCAGAAATCGTCCTCTCTGAAACAGCTGCCCTAATGAACGAAGCAGCTAAGGAAACTTCTGATGCAAAGGACTTTGTTCAAGAAACAGTCACAGCACAGCCACACAAACCAATAGAGGAGCTCATCTCTTTCAGTCCAGTTGATATACCCGTCACAGTTGAAGGTTTTACAGATTTGACCATTTATCCATCAGAATACTCAGTTGAAAATGTATTGATGGCGCAAAAGAACCCCCCCCTGACACTGCTAGTTCAAACAGAGGACAAGAGACAGCAGGGGGAGGCTCACCAAACTAAACCAGAGGTTTCTGACCCAGAAGCTCTCTCAGTGAGGAATGTTGACAAGGAGGCTGCAGGCTCATTTGGCGCTGAGAACCTTGAAGCAGAGGTGAATGATGAGGTAGATCGCATGTTTCAAACCATTTAGAATTGTATTAGTTCTGATATTGAATATATAATTATGTACAGAATTTGTTTGTCTTGATACAAACACCAACACATCTACCTTTTCTGAATATTTTTAACTGCAGGATTTGGATGATCTAGATCTGGACAGTTTTGATCTGGAGGGTATAGACACCGCAATCGACAACCTGGAAGAGGATCTGCTGAGTGATTGAAAATAAGATGAATATTTTCTGTCTCCAAAAAACAAGCCAATTAATGTTCCTTTTGAAAAGAGATTGACAAACATGTTTTATATGGAAAATATTAAATAATAAACACAAGGGCAAAAGCAAATGTATTCACATGGCACATTTTGTGTACAAGACAATTCAGAGTGCTTTTCCATCCATCCATCCATCCATTGTCCACCGCTTATCCGAGGTCGGGTCGCGGGGGCAGCAGACGGAGCAGGGAAACCCAGACTTCTCAGCCAGCTCCTCCGGGGGGATCCCGAGGCGTTCCCAGGCCAGCCGGGACACATAGTCCCTCCAGCGGGTCCTGGGTCTTCCTCTGGGCCTTCTCCCGGTGGGACGAGCCCGGAACACCTCCCCAGGAAGGCGACCAGGAGGCATCCTGAACAGATGCCCGAGCCACCTCAACTGGCTTCTCTCCACGTGGAGGAGCAGCGGCTCTACTCTGGAGACGCTTAAATGTCCTGCAGGGATATGTACTTGCTACTCTGAGCCCCTCCCGGATGGCCGAGCTTCTCACCCTATCTCTAAGGGAGAGCCCAGCCACCCTGCGGAGGAAAGTCATTTCGGCCGCTTGTATCCGCGATCTCGTTCTTTCGGTCACTACCCAAAGTTCGTGGCCATAGACGAGGGTGGGAACGTAGATCGACCGATAAATTGAGAGCTTCGCCTTTAGGCTCAGCTCTCTCTTCATCACGACAGACAGGTACAGCGCCCGCATTACTGCAGACGCTGCACCGATCCGCCTATCGATCTCACGCTCCCTGCCCCCATTCGCCAACAAGACCCCGAGGTACTTGAACTCCTCCACTTGGGGAAGGACGTCCGCTTTTCATGAAAGATTAAACAAAGAATGCATTAAAACGTAAAAGTTTAAAAGCATAAATTAAAAATAAGCGTACAGAGCAAAGATAGAATACATTTGGTTGTCATATATACAGTTAAGTAGAACTTTTTTTTAGCCTGGATTAAACACTGTCAGAGATGAGGTTTGTCTAATTTCTTCAAGAAGAGAAAAAAAAACTTAAATGCAGCCTCACCTTTTTTGTTCCTGACTTTGGGCTGCAGCAGGAGACCACTACCTGAAATGATTTAATTGAGCTGTTTTAAAGTCTACAGTAGCCTATTATCTGAATGACAGGAAGCCAGAGGAGAGATCTGGCACTGGACTAGTCCAAGTTCAAGGATTCTTTTTAATAGCAATGTGTTTACAACAGTGGTGGGCCGTCAGGGCCTGCAAGGCCTTCTCTGAAGGCCTAAGAAAATATCTGAATCACAGACTGATGTTAATGATATTTTGTCCATAAAAAAGGTATTAAATATCTCTAAATAGTCTGTCAGCTTCCTTTCATAGCTTCTCCCCTGGTTGCGCTGCTTCCAGACATGTATTTTCATATAAAAGCATTTAACCAATCACATTTCAGACATCCTTTGTCGCTAGGCAGGGTCAAAGTCAAAGATGTCTGCCTGGAGGCCTTCACAATCTGTTCTGCTGCCCCCCCCCCCCACAGAAAATACATGTCGAGTACACTGTTGCTTCAACCAATCAGATGTTAGGTTGGTGATGCCAGGGCCTGCGCGAAGGCCCAGGAAATGCCACCGTACCCACACCCGCTGATTGGATAGTCAGATATCCAATCAGGGCAAAGCTAGCAAACAAACCGAAATATAGTTGTGTTAGTTAGTGTAATAGCTATTTTATTATTTTGTGGCGGATTTACTGTCAAGACCATTTTCAAAACGGACTTTTCAAGAAAAGTAAGTGAGTAAAATGTTGTTTTTTTCCTAAATGGTATTGCGAGTTTATGAGGACATTATTGATGTTTTTGTTTTTTTTTGGGGGGGGGGGATCGCAGCTGTAGCTGCAGGAGTAGAAGGTGCACCCCTGATCTTTAGACTGAATTTTAGGATTGTCCTGATCCGATATTTGGATCGTATCGGCCGGCATGAGAAAATGCCAATCGAGACTCCAGATACATTTTTTTTAAAAGTCCGATCCCACCCGAGCATTAGCATTAGCATCTCCTAACCCACAGGTCTGTGTAAACTTTAGTTGTTATAAGAGTAAATCCCTGTTCAACATGAGTCTGACAACTAAGTAAGTAGAAAAAAAAAATCAACTTTAATACAAAAAGCTGGATCGGGACATCCCTACTGTATTTCTACATATTAAGATGATTTCTATAACCATAAAATAGTTATTGAGGGGTGAATTGATTCAGACGGAGCACTACTGAAGGCCTAGGTGTAAAATGCACGGCCCGCCACTGGTTTACAAATAATATCTACATACTTAAATGTTTCATAATTAGCAACAGAACTTTCACATGTTGATGTTCCTCAACATTGTGTTTGCCTTTGAATGAGAACTGTATATAATACTGTATACCATGCTTTTAAACATCAGAAATATGAATTAATCACTACTGCATTCTTTGGTTGTTGCTAACACCCCCAAAGCATAAGGCACGTTTGCATCTTAAAGCCAAAAACTACACAAGGTTCATTTAGTAAATGATAAAAAATAAAAAATAGGCAATGTTGCTGCTTTTACAGTTGCTTGTTTTTGCAGATGCTGCTGTGGAATTAAAAATAGCCCATCTCAATTAATCTTTATTATTCTGGCCTCAGAAGATACAACTCCAAAAACATGACATTCAAGTACAAAGACTGTTTATTATTTGTATATGTACATTGGATTTACTCAGTAAGTTAAATGACAACCACAAAGATTCATTTTGTCCAGACAAACCATTTCATACACTGAAAAAGTGATTCAGACTTTTAGCTGCTTTGTCAAGTGTATAGTTGTCCGGTTAGTCAAGATGTCTCTCTGACCAAAACCGCAAGAAGAATTGATATGGTAATATTTTTTCTTTAAATATTTTTTGTCAATTCCACTTGTTCCTCTGGTACTCAGTACCAGTCCACAAAAAAAAGTTTATTTCATTGAGGTGCAGTTAGGCAGCTGAGCCGTCAGCAGCCTTTTGCTCAAATGCCTGCAGAGCCAGTTCAATGTATCCCGACCTTTGGGACTCCCTCTCGGCATAGATCTGCAAGGACAGTGGCACATGTTAACCTAATGGGGGGGAAATGGGCCTGGCTAGAACATAAAACCCTTATGTGCAATGAATATTACTAAATACTACAAACATAGTACCGCTGTTACCTATAACTCTAAATGGAGCACCAGAAAGCTTTGAGCACTAATAAGAGTTGACATATCTGGGACCTGGCCTCATAGCTCCCATGCAGGAGAAAAACCCCAAACTATCAGGAAGGAAACCTCAGATGAGACCTCTTCAGAGCGACTCCTGATTTACCCTGAGCATCCTGGGAGTACAATCTTATTTGACCGAGTTCAAATGGCTACACGCATTACAATAATCAATAGGGGTGAACCAGCAGATGTTTTTAATAAAGGTTGAGCTGTTTTCACCTTAATCAGGTCAATGCCCGTAGCCTGTTGGTTTGCAGCTTTTTGAGCTGACTCACTGTGGGGATGGACCATATGAAATAGAGACACAAGGCTTACGGCATCCTGGAGCCTGCAAAGCAAACACACACAGTAAAAGATTTAGAACAGTTGGGAGCAGACAGTGGTGGTATGTTCAGAATTACTCAATTTAACCCTTTACCCAAAGCCATAGCACTGGCACTATGGTTTTAATGTCTGGAGTATCATTATCATCATAATTTCGTCAAAGTTTGCTCAATCTGAATATTCCAAGACCAACAGAAAGCTGAGAATCTGTGATTGTGTCAATATTTAATGTATGAAATGCAGAATATACAGAGTAATACTGCTATAGCTGTATGTTTGATTGGAGTTACAGCTATAGCCGCAACAGTTAAGAGAAGAAGAGAGCCATTTAGAGGATGCTTCTTCTGAAGGGAGGCACGCACATTGCAAATGTTGCTTTTAGTGTACATCATTGACAACATTTGCAACACCACAAACACTTGCAAACACATTCTTTTAACTTAAAAAAGTAAAGGAAGAAGTGGTGGGAGGAGTTAAATAGAAAATTGACAACTCACAGCTCATTCTTTAGCATGTCCACAATAAGCCCGTCTACCCTGCGAGCATTAACCAGATACCAGGTCATGCCTCCAAAATGTCTGGTGGATCGCAGCAGTCCATATTTGCCATGCTTTTCTAGGTCCTCATAAGTGCTTGCATGGACCTGGTCAATAGAAACAAAGATTTCAATATATTTTACAATGCTCCTCTTTATTATTCATCTAATCTATTTACTCCGATCTTGAGGCTCTTTATTTCAATGTTGCAATATATATTAAACAAGGGGGGAAAAGTGGGGGGTTGGAATTCCTGGAGTAATATTTTGCATTAAAACCTAACCTAAAGGAGTGATTCTTTGAATGCTCCAAAATGGCGAGCAACAAAAACGCATTCTTTTTTTTCCTTCTTGTTTTTTTCCGAATTTCATGTTAAGATGTTTTTAGGGCATCGGATTAAAGATGACTAAGTACAGATGACTGAGTAAAAGATTATTTACGGTCTATCAAAGTGTCAGGTTACCATCTAACAAAGACAGAGACTCACCAGGAATAAAAACAACAGCAAAACAGTGTTCTGAATACATAAGCTTATTTGATCAAGTGAAATCTGGTGTACCCTGTGCTTCCGAAGAGAGCCAACAATAGGGCTCCTTTTTTCTACAAGGTGGAAAGTCTTTATAAAAGGGAGTAAAATTGTTTTCATGTAATTTTACTACGGAATATTCCTTGAATAAAGATTAATAAATATAAAAGAACACTTAAGATACTTGGAAGCTCTAGCTTTCCATACCAATGTACCCTTGGTAGTAATTACTGTTGTCATTGTGTCTCTTTTACTAATCTGGACCACAACAAAAAATATGGTCAACGTGAAAACAAGAGTTTTCAGGTTATTAAATCAAGGTTAAAATAACAAAACGCTCAGTTTCAACTCACTCTGATGTAGTCTGAGGAGTCAGGCTCAAATTGGACCAGACACAGATTCAGCACATCCTCATGACGATCCTGAGAGAAAACCACCTGGAAAATTTTGAAAAATACATTTAAAAAAAGGTTCCTAAACCCTGATAAAAATGTTTTTGTCAGGGTTTAGTAGAGGTTCCAACCTCACTTGACAATGTTATTTTCTTGTTCAAGATTGAAGTATTTGTTCTTGAAATAACATATTGCGGGTCCATGTCAAGAAACATTTATCTAGACTTTCACCAATTTCGTGAAACCAAAATCTTACCTAAATGTGGAAAACTACAGAGAAAAGGATGCTGTGATTTTTAAATAATTTCAACAATCTGTACTATTCTAGTATTATTGAATGCCATGAATTAAATTATTCATTCATTTTTTTCCTCCTGTTCTTTGATGCAAAATCATTCCAAGTACTTACAAAAGCTTTGCTGGCAAATGTTGCACAACATGTATAAATCACACCTTAACTTTAGAGGTACTTGCAGATATCAGTACATAAAAAGCAAAAGCAGAACAGGTAAGAGTTCATTTTGGGGGGTTTTCAGTCTGAAAAAAATGTAATGGTAAAAAGTTCAGAAAAACAAGAGAACCAGGAGAAGAGTGATATTCATTAATCCTGTTGGACTTTGCCGGTTCCCACCTTGAGGTTCTCCTCTTTGAAGATAAGAGGTGCCGTCAACTTGCGTTCCTTTTTAGGGAAGTAGACCTGAATAAGCCGGTCTCTTTCCTCCCAAGTTGCCTTCCTAAGAATTCCATTAGGCTCCCGTACAACTATGAACCTTTCCTGAGGGAATTAAAAATCAAATTCAATATAAATTGTTGTAAATTACATTTACAACTTCAAGACTCGTAAATTCCAAAAAAGGTTCAGCTTCAAATACAAGTGAGACACGTACAAAAAATAAAAAATAAAGATGTGCACCCTGTGTGGTATGTTGTAGGTGATGTCTGTGAAGACAAATTTGGCTTTATCCATGCCATCCAGAATCTTATCCTCTGCCAGAACATCACTGATGGGTTTCCTTTCTGAAAGCACAGGGGGCATCTGCAGCAGCTTTTTGGCTTGCTTTGAGGCCACCTGGAATGCCTGGATATGCAAGAAAGGAATTTAATAAATTAAGAGCAGTTTAGTGTGGGTGCATGCACGAGTGGCTGAGAGAGGCTCAAAATGAATAGAAGTACCTCCTCCAACTGCTCATCAGTCATAAGTTTATATGCTGGTGGATTCAGCTCCTGTTTAATGGGTCGAAATATTTTCTGCAGATCGAGGCCTGTTATCCTGGTAAGGATGTCCTGCACCAATGGATCTTTAAATTGAGGTTTTGCATTTCCGTTGGGGCCTGCAGGAAACATTTAAAAAGTTAATAAATTATCAACATCATCACCTATTAGACTAAAAAAAATAAATGTTCATAGAAAAACTTTTAGTTATTAGAAAACATTAATATTAGCTTTACTAACAACAGTAAATAGAATATGGGATGTCAAAGAGGTATTTTTCTGCATATTCTAAAGAACTGAATCCATATACTTTAAGTTATACACTATGCAAAGCCTTCAGCTTTCATAGTCTACAGTTACATATGATTCAAAACTAGTGATACATACTTATAATCAAACTGATAAACCATTTTCACGTAAACTAACAAGCGCATAGTATAACTTGAAATAGAATAAAAAAGCTGTACATATCCGTCCCATTTTGAGTAAAGAATTTGTCACGCTAAGCCTCGCGACTTGACAGGCTAAGGAAACAAGCTACAAGGTCAGTGTTCTAAATGTGAAAACAACTTAATTGCAAGGACATTAGTAAAAATAAAAACATACCGTTGTCTTGTGAGTCACTACAAACGGTTCTCACTCTACACCTCACTAACGCTTGCTTACTCCTCTGAACATTTCTCATACGTGAATAGCATCTTATCATACATCGTCCTGTCCCGAGCGCCGCCATCTTTACCATGGGTCCGCCTTCGCCCACACTACGTTACGTACTGCTGCATAGGGCCAAGCGGTCATGGGATATGTAGTGCGTAATTGCCCCAACACATTCCCAGAGATGATTGGACGAAGTTAAAAGAAAAAGGAAACTAAAGCGTTAAAGAGCAGCAGCAACAACAACAACAACAACAATAATAATAATAATAATAATAATAATAATAATAATAATAATAATAA